TAACTAGTTTATTTTGTATTAACTTGGATAGATTTATAAAACCATTGTCCATGTTATAAACCCAGTGTAATATTCTAAGAATTATAAAATGGATAAAGATAATACATAGACTTATCTATCATTGTAAGATGTCAATAATGCTGGTCAATAAGAATTAAAAGTTATTTGAGAAGCTATAACTGACCATAAAGTGTTTAGATGAAATTGAACCACATCAGGCCATATGCAGAATAAGCCATTTGATAGCAGGTTTATATCTACTATAATTTGAGAAGACTCCTAAGGTAGAGTTGAAAGTTAAAATAACAATAGACTCTATATAAGATACAGCACTTAATATAGTAACTATTTTTGGAAAATAATTAAGGTTCTAAAATTGAAGTGTTTAAAAAGAGGACTTGCCTACCTGCCATGATGAATATGACTAAAATTATAAAGAAAGACTCACCAAAATGCTTGTTTCTGGTATGCAATCATAGACCATCAAACTTACTTGAAACCTCAGCTCTTTTAGTAAAAAAATATTAATTCTCTTTTCATAAATCGAAATCCAGGAAAAAGTACTAATAATTGTGAAATTCAAATTATCAATAACATAATTTTGAAAATGCATTTATTTAAATATACAAATAACAAAATCTGACAGAGCCATCTGTTAGTATGTGACTCCAGATGATACATTATTGGTGGGATTTTAAGGGGATTCTATTTCTGAAGGTTGTCAATATTGTGTACTCTGCAACTCAGCAATTCTATCCTCCAGTATACAACAAAGAAAAATTTTGTCATATATACTTTGTGATACATTTCCAAGAATTTTCGTGGCAGTACTTTTCACAATAACAAATTTCAGAAAAGAAACACAATTTTCATTGGCAGGAAAATGAATTAGTGAACAAAACAGAATATTATATTGCTGTTAAATGATTAAGGCAAAGTACAATAGGAATGAATCACAGATATTTAATAGTACTAAGTAAATAAATTAAGACTCCCAATAATGTACATGCAAAGTAATATCCAATTTCCAAGTTTAAAAAAAATGTGTGTTTGTATGTGTTCATATACACATGTGCATTTTAGTAAATATGCAGATGCATTAAAACTATATAACACTGTTGGTAGAAATGTGAAGTCAAATGGCCGTTATAGAAAATAATAGAAATTTTCCGCAAAAAAAATTAAAAATAAAACTACCGTATGATTCATCAATCCAACTACTGACAATGCATTCAAAAAAAAAATCTACACTTCAAAGAGATATGCACTCCCATGTTTATTACAGCACTATTCACAATAACTAACACATGAAGAAATGTGTGTCCATCAAAAATTAATGAATAAAGAAAATATGGTACACATACAAAATGGAATACTATTCAGCTGTAAAAAGGAAGGAAATCAAGTCATTTGCAACAACATGGATGAACGTGGAGGACATTATTTAAGTGAAGTAAGCTAAGCAGAGAAAGATCTCACTCGTACATGGAGATATCTCATAGAAATAGAGACTAGAACGGTGATTACCAAGGAATAGAGTGGTGGGGGATGAGGAGAATTGGTCAAAGGATACAGAATTTAAGAGATCTGTTGAACAACATGATGACTACAGTTAGTACATTGCATTCTTGAAAAATGCTAAGAGTAGAAGTGTCTTGCCACAACAAAATAATAAACTATGTGAAGCAATACATATGTTAACTATCTAGATTTAGTCATTTCACAATGTATGCATACTTCAAAACATCATGTTTTATGTAGTAAATACATACAATTTTATCTGTCAATTAAAAAAAGAAAACATGACAACTATATAACCATGATTGCAGGGTTCAGCAGTTTCTCAAGTGAGATGCCAAGTGATAATGGTGCACAGGAACATATCAGTTCAATTCCTCAGCGAGTTTACTGGCACTCACTAATTACTGAAAACTAGATAAACAACGTGAATACGTAAGTACAAAATGACCATACACAGATTTGAATGAGATTATGGCATAAGCAAAAGATTGTAATAATTTCAATTCTAAGCAACTGAGGTCCATATACTACTACTACTACTACCAATAATAATAATAATAATAAAAGTATACTCATTTGTATTAAACCATTTGTGACTACTGCAGTCTCAGAATATTAATGAGGCTTTTTGTGTGTGCTGGGTTTTTTGTTTTAGTGTTTTTTATTTTTGATTTTGTTTTTTGATCCAGGGTCTAGCTCTGTCACTCAGGCTGGAGTACAGTGGCACAACATGGCTCACTGCAGCTTCAACTGCCAGGACTCAAGCAATCCTCCCACCTCAGCCTCTTGAGTAGCTGGATCTAGAGGTGTGTGTCATCATGCCCAGATAATTTTTGTATTTTTAGTAGAGATGGAGTTTTGCCATGTTGTCCAGGCTGCTCTTGAACCCTGGGCTCAAGTGATCCTCCTTCCTCAGCCCCCCAAAGTGCTGGGATTACAGATGTGAGCCACCACACCCACGTTAAGGAGTTTTTTAAATAGATGCTTTATTGTTTTTAAGCTTTTAAATTTTAAAAGTGTTTAAGAAAATAAAAATTAGGTAAATGAAGATGGTTAATCATACATAAAAAAAAAGAGAATGCTTAAGACCAAATATTTGATAGCACAATTGGGTGACTAGAGTCAATAACTTAACTGTACATTTTAAAATAACTTGAAGAGTGTAATTGGATTTTTTTGTACCTCAAAAGATAAATGCTTGAGAGGATGATACTCCATTTCCATGATATGCTTACTTCAATTTCATGCCTGTATCAAAATATCTCATGTACTTCATAAATATATACACCTACTGTGTACCCACAAAAACTAAGAAAACAAAAAAAATAAGAGTATCTTAATTATGAAGAGTAAATAACTAAGTCTCTAATTCATTTTAGATTGTAGGAGAGAATGTAATTTCTGAAATTAAAGCACGATTTAATTTAATTTAATTTAATTTTTGAGACAGGGTCTCGCCAAATTGCCCAAACTAGAGTATAGAGGTATGATCAGCTCACTGCAGCCTGGAACTTCTAGAATCAAGCGATTCTCCTGCTTCAGTCTCCTGAGTAGCTAGGACTACAGGTGTGCGCCAAGTATACTAGCTGTTTTGTATTTTTTCCAGAAAATAGGATCTCGCTATGTTGCTCAGGCTGGTCTCAAACTCCTGGTCTCAAGCAATGCCCCCACCTTGGTTTCTCAATAGGTGAGAGCCACTATGCCAGGCCTCATGGTTTAATAATTATTTAATCAGTCGGAATGACAGAGTTAAATGGGGATAGGAGTACCTTCATGCCTGTATGGCTGGCAGTGATGAGTTGTAAAGTGTTAAGGAGGTGAGCAGTGAATTAATATAGGAATGCAAACTGGCATGGGGGCTAGGTGAGTCCATATGATAGGATGGGGGTACAAGTTTAGAAGAGGGTTGTTAATTTGAGCAAGGAAATACATGTACACATTTCCAAACTGTGCTAGCACTAGGTTACATACTGGGGAAAAGTTTAAATGGGTAAACATGTTGAGAATAATGGGAGAATGCCTTCTCTTTTCCTGAAAAGGGAATTACAAATACAGAATTCGATAAATCAATGTGATCATTGATTTTGATAGATGATGGAGATATAGGTAGATGATAGATAGACAGATAGATGGAGATAGATGATAGATAGATAGATGATAGATGATAGATAGATAGATAGATAGATGATAGATGATAGATAAAGAGACAGATAGATAGTAATGTACATGTGTGTGTGTGAAGTTTGCTCTTTTCCCTGTAAGAGCATGAGTGCAGCAACATTAGAAGAGCAATAAACATACTGAGGCCAATATCTCTGTTTCCAAAAATCATTCTCCATAACTGTCCATAAAATAGGACACTTTGAAAAAAATACAGGTTCCAGTGCTGAGAGAGAGCAAATACAAGATGAGACTGAATATGTTTTGTGCCAGAAAATAAAGAAGAGCTCAAAAAATGATCAGGCCATGATCAAAGTCACAAAAAGGCAGCTTAAAGAATTCCCATGGGCCAAATACTGGACATTTTGAGCATCAAAATACTAATGGTCATAATTTTATAGACCAATTAAAATAGAAATTTATTATAGTGTGAAAAAATCCCTAATTTAGATGAGAAAAAATGACTCTCTGAGTGCCTGAGTAGTTCATTGCCTCATCAGACCTGCAAATGTAATACTGAGTCAAAAAACAACAAAAACAAATTGAGTGCACCACAGATATGAATGCAACAATAGGTTTCACTTTCATTGTTATCATGAAGCCAGAATTGAGATTTATCCATAATCTTGTAAAGCTCTCAAAGCTATTTTAACTTACAGAACCATTAAGTTTTGGGGCACATGAAACAAATCCTGAAGAGAAAGAAAAGCTACTGTGTGTAACTGTTACTTTTCAAACAGAACAGTCTTTAGGTAAGAAGTATTGTTTATTAATGTAATTGACTATTATTTTTAACATGAAATGTGCTTCCAGATATATATACTTGGATCCCTTCTCAAATTGAGGATTATAGAAGACTAGGCCTGTGATTGCATTAGACATTAGCATAAAATACACTGAAGTTGATATTGATTATGGGAGATAATATCTACAGATTCCTATTACATTATTCAAAAATAAATGGGTCTGTGCTTGGAAAGAGATATATAGACAAATGAACAACATGTTAATATAAGTAAAGGGTATACAGGAGTTCTCTATACTGCTTTACAACTTCTTTGTAATTATGAAAGTATACTAACAAAAATTAAACTTGTTATATTGGTATTCATTTACCTAACAATTTCTTTCACTGAGTGGAAGGTTTTTCAGAGACAATTTACACAAACTAAAGCTGGTAAGCAAGGAATAAGGATAAGTTTGGTATATACATTTCGTGTAATCCTCTTGGCAGGAAGAATCATTTCCAGATCATTTCAGCTGAGCTGAAAATAGACTTCTGCTGAGCATTTCCTAGGTTACACTGCCAAAACATTCTCCTTAGCTCTGGTGGCTTGATGTTTTACTCGTGCTATCTTCTACTTTGTTGGGATTGAAAAGAAATGATATTTCATATCACTGATACCCCACTGCGTTCAGCTATGAGAGCAGAATGGTGAGCTTAAGAGTTACTAAAATAAATGTTAATTGATTGTTACAGAATTGTTTGTCTATCTAACTTTAAAATGTGTGTATGTGTATGTGTATGTACATACTTGAAAATGTCCAAGATTATGGAACAGAGTTTTTTGCTATCATAGAAAGTAAAATTCATGTGAAACCTGAACTAGAGCTCTCAGTATTATGAATGATAGACTCTATCTATCCAAGATGACATGTAGATAAACATTCATTTTCACATATTCCTTTTTCCTCAATATCAGGTTTTTTATTGCTTGTCGAACTTTTCACCTCCACTATTTACTTAAGGGCTTCATTAATATTAGTTTATCTCATTTTATTTCTATTCCCATATTAAACACAGAGATGGAAAAATAAAGCTTTATATTAAGCAGTGACCAAGAAAGAAGGTCTTAATTATATCTAGTTCCTTTTCGGCCTCAACAAGGCCATTTTTAAATGCAGCAATATTGTTTATCATGTTTAATACTGTCTTGAGGTTTGTAAATATGATAGAATCTATGCTTCTTCTATCCATTCAAAGGAAAAAATAAGAACCATGCACATTTATGCAGCTAGGCAAGGGGAAAATAATATCATAGTAAATTTTTGTGCATATTTTTAGAATCAAAAGTTAAACATTAATTTGTAAAAAGTCAATGCCCCAAAATTGATAAGAAACTGAATTGCAGAATGCTTTTAATTGAGCTATGAAACATATTTTGTTATACTCTGGTGTGTTTGTGTGCTTGAAAGGAGAGTTTCAATGAAAAATGACCAATGTTACTTTTAGTCAACATGATAGGAGTAGTCTTTAATAATGAGACTGGGAAGTAAAACACTTCCAGATGCCTTAAATTGAGCCACCATAGACTTTGCGTATTATAAATATAGTCTGTACTTCAGTTTTTAGACAGTTTTTAAAATGAAGAATTATACAATAAAAATACCAAATCTTGGACTAAAGCTGAGCATTTTGGAATGATAAATTTCACTTGGAGATTACATACCAGAGCAAAAATAATTTTAAATATAGCATCTGTACTTTTTATGACTGTATTTTATATTTTGTTACTTTATTGAGTAGTAAGAAATTTATATGATCCCCAAAATAAAATTATGTATAAGAAAAGTGTTTTCATTTATGTATTTCTCCCTCAATCCTTTCAACTCTGCTCCTACCTATCCATGTTGGTAACCAATTTAATTAGTTTCTGGTTTATCATTCCTGCATTTCTTTTTATAAAAATATGCAGATAAATGAATGTTTTCTTATTTCTCCTTTCTTTAACATAAAATGTCAAACATTTTATATGCTCTTTTTTTGTACTATTTTACAAATAAAATTTCAATGAGTATCATCATGCAGATGTGTTTCCTATTGAAGATGATTGGATTTAATGATAAAATATTTACAGATTTATTAGATGCTATCAAATTTAAATGCATAAGGTTAAAACATTTTGCATTTCTAAAGCAATATATGAGTGCTTAGTTCCCAAATAAACATACTGTTGCACTTTTATTTTTGATCAACTATGAAAAAGAGTTGCTCAGGATATGTTTAATTTTTATTCCTCTTATTATTTATAAAGTTGAAAATTTTTCCTATATTAACAAGCAATTTTCATACTTTGTGAATTATTATTATGTGTTCCAATTTTTCTGCAACGTTTCTATTTCTTCCCCTCAACATTTGTAGAATGCTGAGGATTGTTGATATGGGTTAGTTATTTGTGATTAATGTTGCAGGTGTTTGTTTGGCATTTGTCCTTTGACTTTTTAATTGCATTTTGCCCATGTTAAAAATTGTAAAAACTAATTTCAAGTTATAAGTCATTTATTTTATGTCCTTTTATATTGGTATCCTTATTAAAAACAGTTCTGTATATTCAGATTAGCATGATGAATTCACTTATATTTTCTTCTTGTACACACACATGTCTGCGGGTGTTCAATTTTTAATATTTAGATTCATGGCACATTTGGGAAATGGTGTTTTATTACTAAAACAAAAGATGTAATTGTGAAAAATAAATATTCATCAACCCCTTTTTCCTTAATGTATTTTAATCAGAAATTGATATTGGGTGTTTAATGTGTTATCATCATTATACAGATAACCATAAAATTTTCACCTTTGGTTTATTGATATGATAAATTAATGATTTTCCTAACATTGAAATAAACTTGGTCCCTAGTAATAAACCTTTTTCCCATATTGTCATATTGTATCATTTAATTCATACATTTCATTCTATTACTTTATATTTTATTTAAGAACTTTAAATTGATCTGCATTTGTGATATTGGTTTGTAAGTTTCATATTCATGTGCTATCATTAGTGGTTTAGATATCAATGTCTGTTTTCATGCTGCTATGAAGAAATACCAAAAACTGGGTAATTTATAAAGGAAAGACGTTTAATCGACTCAGTTACCTATAGCTGGGGAGGCCTCAGGAAACTCACAATCATGATGGAAGGCAAAGGAGAAGCCGACGCCTTTCACACAGGGCAGCCCTAAGGGGTGAGTGCAAGCAGGGGAAATGTCAGATGCTTATGAAACCATCAGATCTCATGATACTTACTCATTATCATGAGAAAAGCATGGGGAAAATAGCCCCCATAATCCAATTACTTCCACTTGATCCCACCATTGACACATGGGGATTATTACAATTCAAGGTGAGATTTGGGTGGGAACACCGTTGATAGAGCCAAACCATATCAATGTCATACTGGTTATACAGGCAAAAAAAAACCCTTATTTCTGATGTTGTGGAAAAATTAATGTATTTGGGGGATTACATATTTATTAAATGTTTGCTTCGTAAGATTGTAAAACTTTGGGGTTTAAGTGTGTTTTTTGTTTGGTTTTTATTTTTCAAATTACTTTTATTGTTTTATTTTAATTTTTTCATACAATTTTATTTATATTTAAGGCCATGAATTATCCTACAATTATCACTATATACTAAAATATAAAATTTAAAGTATTTATTATTTTTTCATAAGTTTTGTAACTTTTTTACACCATAAATATACGTAATGTTTATTTGTCAATTAAAAAATGAAAGTTAAATACTGTATAGCACTCACTTATTTGAATATAAAGTTTTTTCTATTTGTTGCCCTGCAATATGGAATTTAGGTCATTTAAATTTTTTATAATTTTTTATTTCAATAGTTTTCATGAAACAGGTGGTTTTTGGTTATATGGATAAGTTCTTCAGTGACCATTTCTGAGAGTTTCATGCACCTGTCACCAAGCAGTATACACTGTACCCAATGTGTGCTCTTTTATTTCTAGCCTCCCTCCTACCCTTCCTTCGGTGTCCCCAAAGTCCATTATATCATTGTTATGCCTTTGCATTCTCATAGCTTGGCTCCCACTTATGAGTGAAAACATATGATGTTGGTTTTCCATTTCTGAGTTACTTCACTTAGAATAATGGTCTCCAATTCCATCCAGGTTGCTGCAAATGGCATTATTTTGTTTCATTTGATGGCTGAGTAGTATCCCATGTTGTATGTATACTACATTTTCTTTATCAATTGATTGCTCAATGGACATTTAGGCTGGTTCCGCATCTTTGTGATTGTAAATTATGCTGCTATAAACGTTCATGTGCAAGTGTCTTTTTCATAGAATGATTTCTTTTTCTCTGGGTAGATATCCAGTAGTGAGACAGCTGTTTTGAACAGTAGTTCTACTTTTAGTTCCTTAAGGAATCTCCATACCATTTTTCATAGTGGTTGTACCAGTTTACATTCCCACCAGAAGTGTAAAAGTGTTCCCTTTTCACCATGTCCATACCAACATCTTTTTTTTTTTTTTTAAATTATGGCCATTCTTGAAGGAGTAAGGTGATATCTCACAGTGGGTTTGATTTGCATTTCCCTGATAATTAGTGATGTTGAGAATGTTTTCATATGTTTGTTAGCCATTTGTATATCTTCTTTTGAGAATTGTCTATTCATGTCCTTGGCCTACTTTTTGATGGGATTATTTATTTTTTTTTCTTCCTGATTTGTTTGAGTCTCTTGTAGATTCTGGATATTAGTCATTTGTCAGATGTATACGTTTCAATATTTTCTCCCATTATGTGGGTTGCCTGCTTACTATGCTGATTATTTATTTTGCTGTGCAGAAGACTTTTAGTTTAATTAAGTCTTATCCATTTATTTTTGTTTTTGTTGCATTTGCTTTTGGGTTCTTGGTCATGAACTCTTTGCTTAAGCTAATGAGTTTCTCCAATGGTATCTTCTAGAATTGTTATGGTTTCAAGTCTTTGATACAAGTTTATTGTCCATCTGGAGTTGATTTTTGAATAAGATGAGACATGAAGATCCAGTTTTATTCTTCTACATGTGGCTTGCCAATTATCTCAGCATCATGTAATGAATAGGGTGTCCTTTCTACATTTTATGTTTCTGTTTGCTTTGTCGATGATCAATTAGCTGTAACTATTTGACTTTATTTCTGAATTCTCTATTCTGTTCCATTGGTCTACATGCCTATTTTTTATACAAGTGCCATGCTGTTTTTGTAACTACAGCTTTGTGGTAAAGTTTGAGGTCTGGTAATGTGATGACTCCAGATATGATTTCTAGTTCTGTGGGTTTTTTTTCTAGTTCTGTGGGTTTTTTTCTAGTTCTGTAAGGAATGGTGATAGTACTTAGATGGAATTACATTGAATTTGTAGAGATTGCTTGTGCTTTTTCAGACTTTTTGATATAGGTATTTAATGCTATAAACTTTCCTCTTAGCACTACTTTTGCTGTATCTCAAAGGTTTTGATACGTTTTGTCACTATCATTCAGCTTAAAGAAGTTTTTAAATTTCCATCTTGATTTTATTGTTGACCCAAAGATCATTCAAGAGCAGATTATTTAATTTCTATGTATTTGTATAGTTTTGAGGGTTCTGTTTGGAGTTAATTTCCAGCTTTATTGCACTGTGGTCTGGAAAAATACTTGATAAAATTTTAAT